TGTGAGTCGTCTCGACGCCTGCTTACGTTACATAAACCTCGTAGTCTGACTGCACATAGCCGACTGTTGACTGGGATCCGGTCAAGCAGGGCTGATTCAGCCCTGGCACTCAGTACAATCCCAACACCAGCTTGGCCAGTGGCGGCAGCTTCTGGGTCTCCGGAAAGCCGCAAGAAGTATTTGGAGTCAGGGTTTACCGGAGAGGCTATTCTGATGACGGCGCTAGAGTCTTCTAATCTGGTCTCTGAAAGGCAACAGATGTCTACCGAAAGCGTCTCAAGAGTACGGGCCAGACATGCTTGTCGTCCGATCTGCATCAAAGTTCGAACATAAAACGCTGCGAGGATGAGTGGAGAATCAGGTCGAAGAAGTGCTGGAGCTTGGATGGAGTGAGAGGCGGTTGCGATCGCAGGACATTGAAAACCGGGAGTTTGGCTGTTGCTTCCATCAGTTGCGAGACGTGGGTCGTTTGTGACGGTGACCGAAGAAGACATGAGTACATGTGGGTGAAGGACGGGAGGTGGGGTGATCTGTGAGTGAAGGTTGAGCGGTTGAGTTAGCACAGAAGATAGGCATAGCAGGAGCAGTAGTAAGCAGTGTCGTCCATGATTCGTCAGTGGGCGTGATACTACCCGGTTGCCCAGGCTGAAGTATAGGGTTGTCTTAGGGGGCCCTAGCCCGAGCCTTTGATCAAAGATCTAACCTACGAGGCAGCAGGGCGATGTGAGGGCGTCACAACCCGTTGGGAGCCGGTGCTCAAACAAGTGGTTCATACGCCTTTCGGTCCGTGAAGGACCAGGGGCCCAACGCACCCTTAAAGTACAATGCCTCTCAGGGAGGGGCAAGGGGCAGTGACTTTAGTTAGTGACGAGTCACATTCGCCACGTCGCGGTGTTGTTAAAAAGACATTTGTGGCTTTTTATAGGGAGAACGCTTGCCAGGCGAAAACCCACCACGTCCTGGAACACTGCTGCCGAACCATTCGCTGGAACGGGAAAAACCCGAATCACCCAGCTGGCACCACGAGGTTGTTCGGCAAGCCTGCATTTATAAAGCATAGAAAGCTACTCGTACACAAGGCACCGTAACGTGGGGTGTTTACAGAGCTTATTACACAACCAAAGGATGGGGACACATGCAACACATGCGCCTGTGTAGAGATAGCGGCTGTATAAGGCGCAGCTTATGAAACGACGATAGGGCTAATTTCCGATGGCGTTGTACTCAAGGGACTTGCCGTAACGCAACGTCCCTGTTCGCTAGTACTTTAGGTGAGGGTAGAGCTTTCTTAGTCTTTCTTCGCCCACTTTTCGCGGGTCCAGAAGGCTGTAAATGGTCCATATTATGAATGGAGTCAAGAACACCGTCTGACGGGTCATCCTTATCCGAAGACGTAGAGGCAAGATCAAGTTCAGGTGGGACTGGAGCAACAGAATAACAGGAGTGTTTCTTCTTGAGGGGATTGTTGAGCAAGAGATTGACGAAGTGCTGAGTTCTTGATGGATCTAAAATGGAAAACCCGTATCATACTCTGGTTAACCAAATAATACCCATGTTTCCTGCCCTAGCAGTCCCTGCTAGAAATCGAAGGTACAGAAGGTGTAAGCTCATGTGAAATAAGAATACAAACGCATGAAGAAAACCAGAAAAGAAAATCAAAGTATGAAGATCCGAGTTACTCAGGAAAAGTAAAAGGTTTCGTGTTGCCACCCAAGAGCGTCAACTCGCAGCTCAAACCCCTTAACCATAGATTCCTGATAACACTTTCCGAAGCGATCGATCAAAGCACTAGCTGCCATTATCTCGCTTGTGGTTACGGATCTATTCAACAAATCATTGTCTGAGGGCTCATTGCCAAACGACTGGAAGCGTTCGGTGGTGAGGCCGATCCCGAAAGGTGGCGACCCCAGTAAGGTGGATAACTACAGGCCAATTTGTCTTACACCCGTTTTGGCCAAAGTGATCGAGAAGATAGTAAAAAAGCGTCTAATACATCTGTTACAATCGAAAGAACTTCTGACACCGGCACAACACGGATTCAGGATGGGATATTCTTGTGTTACAAACTTACTTGTGACGAGACAGGAATGGTTGCAAGCACTGAACCGGGGAAAGTCCGTTGACGTAATCTACATCGACTTCAGCAAAGCATTCGACAAAGTCAATCATGAATTGCTTCTAGACAGATTAAGGTCGTGTGGTGTCGGAGGATCGTTACATCGATGGATCCATGAATTTCTCGTTGGAAGAAAGTGAAGGGTACAGGTGGACGGCCATCTAACCGATTGGTATCCCTCGACCAGTGGTGTACCTCAAGGTACGGTACTGGGACCCACTCTGTTTCTCATCCACATCAACGAGCTGCCCCAGCTTCTACGGTCGCCGTGTGCACTGTTTGCGGATGACCTCAAAATTTGGCGAGAAATTAATACTCTCGATGACTGTGACATTCTCCAACAAGACCTCGACCGCCTCGCAGTATGGTCTGCTGAAGTCCACCTACCGGTCAACCCGGTCAAGTCCCTATTCATGAGTCTCGGGAAGGCTGTTCACGACCGAACGTACACCCTAGACGGCCAACCACTGCATCCCACACCTTCCGTGAAAGACCTAGGTGTACTCTCACGCTGCGACTTGAAGTCCGTCGACAACACCAACAAACTGTATCGAAACGGACTGCGCATGCTCAGGGCGCTGAACCGCAGCTTCTGCACTTGGTCTGAGGACGTCGCCACTCGCCTCTTCTCTTCCATCGTCAGACCAATGGTAGAGTACGGCTCGCCTGCATATTGTCCGATCACTCGCGGCGAAGCGCAAAAGATCGAACGAGTACAACACATCGCCACCAAGTTGATCCCCAGCTTGAGAGGCTTATCGTATGAAAACCGGTGCATGAAACTTGGGCTCTACACCTTGTCATATCGCCGTGTTCGAGTGGATCTTATCATGACCTACCGTATTTTACATCTCGGTCATTTCCCCATGCTAAGGTCGTTACTCCACTTGCGAGTACCATGCACCACACGTGGGCACAGGTACAAACTCGTGGTACCTGATCTGAAGAAAATCCCACACCCCCTGTGTTTCGAGCGGAGGGTTGTACACGCCTGGAACAGTCTGCCAGAACACGTCGTCGAGGCCGAATCTGTGCAGAAATTCAAATCTTTGTTGGATGTACACTTCGCTAACATACGTTTCAGAGAACGGTTGGCACTTGACAACGATATCACCCACTTGTGACTCACTGTGTAAACAAGCATTTTGTGTGCTACAGGAGTTGCTGAACCATCTCATGATAACCACCGGACGTGTTTATTCATTTTTTTAAAATGTTTTTTTTGATTATCACCCGATGGAGTTGTACAGAATTATTTTCTACTTGCTCCAAAATACAGTATTCAGATGACTCGGTGGGACAGCCGATTTTCGCCCTAAGTCGATCGGACCACGGTTTGTCCAGCTTAAAAGAATGACCGCGTAGAACAAACAATCTAGCGGGACTGAATAGCCAATATAAATGCAGACTAACCTTCCCAGTTAAAATACCGTAGGTTAGAATTAGGCCTCCTCCAAGCCTTCGACAGTGCATTGAATGAATTCCCAAACTAAGTAGACGTGCGCGGTACGTCCGTCCCCGAAATCCATCAACCAACCTAGTACCCACCAGTAAAACCCACTTCAGCTCCATTTTGCCCTAGATGAAGCAGAGCAGACAAGCTTGGCCGCAGCATTCCAGAGGCCGAAAGAAAGTCGAGAAGGCTCACAAAGATGTCGCCCAACAAGATTCCGGAAGAACGGCGTATTAACCACAACATACGGAAACCTCTGTTGGCGGCATTCTTCCAGTTGTCGCCGGTGTGTAAAGTCGAGGAGCGTAAGAAGTCTAAATCAAACTGGCTAACCACAATGGCTAGACCAATGTTGCAGCAAACTAGGTGCATCCACTTGTCGCACCACCATCCGAATAGCGTCGTCCTGTACTGCAGAGCTCTCGGTTGACGAGTATATTTTCGTGCTACCACTGGTTTACGTCCTGTACCACTTCCCAATGGCTTCCAGATGTGTCTCCTGTAGTAAGAGTGTCACTCACCGATCGAAGGCCGTACAGTGCTCTTTGTGTGATGGTTAGATTCATGCTGCTTGCTATGGTATCTGTCCGGGCCTATATGGATATCTACCACGGACACCGTCTCAAGCTATCGCTTTCTTTTGTGATTCATGCAGAGTAACAACCAGTGACAGACGTGTACTTGCCGGTTTATCAGCGCTTAGCCCACGTCCCTCTCTTCCTCACACTGCGTTGCTTGCTTCCCCGGACTCAGTTTTACCTGCGGGTCCTCCTTCCCCCTGTTCTGGATTCGTAACTCCCATCGGTAAGCAAAGTCGTGCTACGTCTCCCGCAGTAAATGTTGCTGCTCAGCATGCCGAGCCTGCGGTCAGGACCTATGCATCCGTGGTGAAAGGACTCGCAACGCCGTCAGGCAGCGGCAACTCAGATGTGCGAGAAGCGAAGCCAAAAGCAAAATCTGGTATCAAAGCCAAGCCCTCTCCGCAATTGGAGATTAAAAAAGTTCTTGATAGACTTACTTAGTTTGAGAATTTGGTTAAGGACACATCGATTTCTCCTAAGCAGCAGACATCTAGGGACTCCCATCGCCCCTCTCGTGACCGTTGCCTTATAGTGGTAAATGCGCCTGAGTCCTCTAAATCTACGCCAGCTGAAAGGATCCTAGATGATGAAGCGCTTTTAATAAGGATGATTGTACAGTTGTTTGATGAAGGTGAACAGAGGATAAATGTTGCTTCTGCCTTTCGCATTGGCAGGAAGCAGGAGGACTCTACAAAGTCTCGCCCTCTCAAGGTCGTATGCCAAAACGAAGATGTATGCAGTCGCATCCTCCGACGAACTTCACGTCTCAAAGGAGAATCGTTTTGTGTTCTGAGAGAACTGTCCCCTGAGGATCGAATAAAAATGAAGAGTGTAGTTGATGAACTTCGAACCCGCCGGGCAATAGTGAGACGGACCATCACATCATGATTTTTCGAGTGGTTCGGAAAACTCCTAGAAGTCGCTGAGGACCCATCCTGGTCCCACCTGGACAGCAAGGTCAAAGAACAGTTTGAGTGTGTTGTCCGCTAATGTGCGCAGTTTACGGAACAAATTGGACGAGGTTCAACTTCTTGCCATCGATAATCACCTTGACTTGATGGCTTCCATTGAGACGTGGCTGTCCCCGGACACCCGTGACTCGGAAGTATATATCCCTGGATATCACTTCTCCCGGACTGATGGCCACGGACCGAGGTCAGGCGGTGGAGTTATACTCTATAGGAGGGCGGACCTCAAGGCACATTTACTTGAGGATACTTGTGATATAGTGGCTTCGAAGCTCTGTGGTGTATTCATGATCGGTGTAGATCGCTCCTGGTATATGTCGCCTACAGATCTCCCTTGGGTTCAGGAACTCTTGCTGGATGCAAATAAATCGCATGCCAAAGGTAAGGACTGCTTAATTGTTGGAGACTTCAATGAACCTGGTAGTGAGGGACCTGCCTTATAGTGGTCTTCTTTCTGACTCTTTTGATGTTCTTCTCCTTCAGACCGTTCTCGATCGTAACTGGTTTCAGCATGTATTTTAAACCACTTGGTTGTTCTCAGGTCACACGCCGCACATTCTTGATCTAATGCTCTCCCCGATGCCGTCAGATATCATCGACCTGGTTGTTAAGCAACCTATTGGTAGTGATCACTGTGCTGTTTCCTTCCAATGGGCAGGTCGATTTTCCATTCATGACGAAGGCGATTTCCGGCGTAATTTCTGGCGAGTCGATCCGCATCATCATCATCAACAGCAGTACATCAGCCATTTGAACTGATGCTTCGCTGCCATACAACCATGAGGACCTATGAAATAAAGAATAAGAAGAGGGAGAGAAGGGGGACTTACCTGAAAACCTTAATGCCCTAAGCAAACATTCTGGGTCAAGGCGCCTACACCTTGTGTAGGCAACATTCCGTCACAAACAGCTGACTATCGTGCAAAGATAAGGCGGCATCGGCGAGACAGCTTCCTTGCGGCTTTCACTGCCACACGTCATAATCAGCCATTACCCTGCAGATAACTCAGCACCAAACACACTTTAAACAGACAATCCGATTAGGAGACGGCAGCAGACGCGCCACTGGTGTCGGTTGCGAGCCATGTCTTGTAAAGTCTCGAGCCAAGCACAAGGTGAGTCACGTGGACTCCAACCCGGAAGGCGAGACGGACCAACGGCACCTAGTTTGGTCGTCAGTGACTTCATTTCCCGCTGCCAAGTCAACTTCTGTCCACCTCGAGCCTTGCGCCATCCGACACCTGGTAGACTGAACAAGGCCCTCCTAGGTAAGCGGTGACCAGGCATGCGTAGCATGTGCCCGAGCCAACGCAACTTATTCAGTGTTATCTGTTGTTCTAGGGAGCTAGCATGATTATCACCACTTTGTATTCGCCTACGCACGTCATCGTTGCGGACACGCTGGTGCCATCCGACACCAGCAATGCTTCGCAAACAACGATGATCAAAGACTTGAAGGCGCCTCAGATCTTCAGACCGAAGGGGCCAAGTCTCACTACCATACAGCAGAACGGCCCTCACTGTGGCCTTGTATACACGGCCTTTCAGACGAAGGGAAACTCCCTTCTGTCGCCAAAGATGCCGCAGGTTCAAGAAGGCAGCTCTGGCCTTTGCAATGCGTGAGCTCACGTCAGTTTCTATGTGCCCATCATTGCTGATGCAGCTGCCAAGATAAGTGAATTGATCAACCACCTCGAGTTCCTCGTTAGCAAGCGTCAAGGGGTCATCAAGTGGCTGGTGGTCCTGCAGCAACACTTTGCACTTTGAAGGTACGAAGTGCATACCAAATAATGGGACCACTCTGGATAGGCTATTCAGGGTTGATTGTGCCGCCACAACATTGTCGAAAAGCAAGACGATATCGTCCGCATAATCTAGATCAACTAACCTTTCACCAGGCAGCACTTCAACGCCTACATCGTGAGATTCCGCAAGGGAACACTCCATGATAGAATCTACGACGAAATTGAACAAAAACGGGGAAATCGGACAACCCTGACGAACGCCACTTGTAGTTGAAAAGCTATCCGATAGGACACCAAAGACCCTAACGCGGCCTGTAGTGTTCGAGTATAGAGCACGAAGGATGTTCACATATTTCGTGGGAACACCTTTCCGCGCAAGTATTTCGAACAGAATCGATCGATCGACTGAATCGAACGCACTCTTGAAATCGAGGAACACAGCTATTGTCGGTCTGCGGTATGCGTGGCGCTGCTCTAGCACCTGCCGCAAAGTAAATATGTGGTCTATACAGCCACGTCCTGGGCGAAAACCGGCCTGCTCTTCCCTAATCCGAGATTCCCGTTCTGCAGTGAGGTGACGAACGATAATCGAGGCCAGTAATTTTGTCACAACTGGCGTTAGGCTAATACCCCTGTGGTTCGCACAGTCTGTGCGACTGCCCTTTTTGTATATTGCCACTATAATCGATTCGCTCCAATTAGCCGGCACACTCTTCGTTCCAGATACGTTCGAATAGGGAGGTCAGTGCCATGCAGAGGACCTCACCTCCATCCTTAAATAGTGCAGGTGGGAGGGAATCCGGGCCAGCGGCACGAAAACGATTGAGGGCTGTGATCGCGTTTCGGACCTCGGCCTCCGACGAAGGCCTATCCGCAGCATCTGCAGGAGGCTGCCTCTAACATGGACTGGACCATTCCTCATTTTTGAGTGTTGACGATGCTTGGACTCACTTTTACTCCAAAATGATGCCGCTAATCAACCAGGTTGTTCCCCTTTCTAAAAAATGAGGACCAACAATAGGTCATCCTTGGATCGATAAACAGTTGAGGTCTCTGATGAAAAAAGGCGCAAATTATGGGACCGATTCAAGCGTACACAATCGACGGCCGACAACTTGGAATACAAAATGCTTAGAAATCCCTGCATCCTGAAGAAACGAGAGAATCGCCAAAACTACGAGTTTCAATTGGCTGTGCAATCCAGGTGCTCCCGCAAAATGTTCTCATATCTGTAAAGGGGCACCAAAGGTGGTAATGGCATTCCGTCTCTGTATTCTAGTAAACACGCTGCCTTACTTCATGAGGATACTGCGAAAGCGAATCTCTAAGCTCAACAGCATTCATCCGTTTTCACAAATGAAACTGCGTTTTCTGACGTCATACTCCCGTGCTCATCTTTGCTGGATCATCTTGAGATCAGTACGGAAACTGTTACTCAATTCCTTCTCCAGTTAGATCCGAACACCTCGCCTGGTCCTGATGGCCTGCACCCACTGTTTCTCAAGACCGTGGCTAAGTACACTGCAGCCCCAGCTTGT